ACTTTGGCCGAGTCACATATCAGTAAAGTTTACGCAGCCCACTCACGTACACCAATATGGTAAAAATAAGTCATCTTCAATCGCAGCCTGACTGGAGAAGGCCTTTGGAATTCACGTCACCTCCAAACAGCTGCGAAACTTCTTGTATGGAGTCACCCATGGACAGCTACCTGGGACCAGCACTCTTGATCTGGAAACCTCCAACGAGCAGCTCCGACAACGTCGCTATGGTCCAGGATATCATCTTCACCGCAGTCGCCAAGGCGCGGTTGATGGTATGGACCGGAAGTTCCTGGAATGGGAAGACCGATATTTTCTTCGTGGACCCCGGACTGAAGGTGAGCGCTGGCGGTTACACCGAGCAAAAAGAAGAATAGAATAGAATAAGAATATTCTCCCCTCGTGTCGTCACCCTTACAAACTTGGGAGCTTCATACTGCTACAGTATTGGGTGCCAGCACATGGAATCGGAGGGCTGGAAAACTCTTGCCTACTTGGAATGAAAGGACGTTGAGAACCTGAAGAAGACGGAATATCCAAGTGTGCCACCTGACCTAAACCCCCTCGATTACCGGGTTCGGGCGGAGCTCAACAGGGTGGTCTACAGTGGTGGAGAAATCAACGATTTCGCTGAATCAGGCAACGAATCACGGTCGCGTGGAAGAACTCTTGATGGCGCTCGTTCAGAAGACTGTTTCGGAGGTTCTTGATAGTACAATGTGTTGTTGAATATGATAGTGGAAATGTCCAATCAATTTGATAAAGGGTAACTTACATTTCCTTGAAAGTCGAGGACGAAAAGTGTCTTTTTTACTGCCCCCCCCCTATTGCAATATCCGCGGTTATGTTGCGTACTGTGAGAACGGAGCGCTGCGCAGCCTAGCAAACTCCCTCTAAGCTTTAGTTCTTCTTGAAATGCATAAGCTAACGATTTGCGCAAACGATCTTTTGCGGAGCGGATGGCAGGATCCGTAGTTTCTAGGGGTTCTATATGAAGTACACTAGTATACTTTACGATCAAGCTTGTTTGGCGGCTTCATACCAAAAATAACGCGGACATTTTCGCTGAATGCTGGTTGTTCAAATTTAGTGGACGCTGCCTCGTCCAGACGTAATATAGAGCAAAACCCTACACGGTTCTAAAAAAGAAAAACTTTCTCTATCTAAATGACACAACAGTTTTGTTGTAGGTTTACTATGGTGAACATTCGCTCGTCGCGGATTTTGTTCTGAAAGTTTGCTTCAGCTGTAGTGAGAGGGTCCCCCAACAATATAGGCCATATAGGCCCCGCGTCGCGGATTCTGTGACAAGCTCGATCCTGCGCGGCACGCCCTATTATTCAAAGGATTACGACTGTATGTCGACAACACGGCGAACAGACCATCGCGTTGTGTACAATCTCTGGTATATACGATACCGCCACAGGAGAAGTTTATATCAAATAGGATATCTTCATTCTGGAAGTGTGCGCGCATTCAGAAGTTGCGCAAACTTTCAAACACCTGTCCTGGCACTGGACCACACTATTTCGCCATATCGTGCGAAATGGGCCAGGAACTCTAAAGGTGTCCACTCTTTATCCATCATTTTCTCAGTAGCAGGAGTTTTAATGCGGGAAAGCAGGGCTGTGAAGCATAAAGCTCGGTATTCATTTTGAACACCTTTGAAGGGGAACCTCCCGTTATGACGTTCTTGGTGAGATTTGGGGTCACCTACAAGTTTTCATGGCTTAACAGACAGAACTTTCCTATCTGACCTGTTGTGAAACCGAAGACACTGCCGGAATCTACTACACTTCTTCTTTTGCCGGAAAGGGCATTTTTCTATGCTCACTGATTAAAGAATTCTGTGTCGTGTATTATAGTTGTTGTGGACAGTTTGAGCAGCACAAAAATCCCACTCCTCCGGCGCAATAACATTTTCAGATCGTTTGAAGAATTGAGCTACCTCCCTGACACAACTTTCGTCTAGTTAATTGAGCAATAGTTTAACCGTCGTCGAGTGACATCCCATAGGTACTGCGCCATGTGTTCGCGCAGGGGTATTAGGTGGTAGCTAACGATTAGAAAGACTTTTCCATGGAAACGGATGTTCCCCTACGGTTCAGAAAGGTTCAGGCACGTAGTGCTCTTTTGTTAAAAGGCAGAACCCGCGATTATTCGCCATCTCAGATAGTGGATTAGGGGGTTCCATATAGACGACAAGGGGTTGAGTAACTCGACAGTGAAGAAAAAAAGCACAAAAAACATGCCACCTGCCCTAGATAGAACCCCATTTTGATCCCAGTTTGTACGTGCCCAATTAACTCTATCTCCCACACTACGCCCTCATACGCACAGCTGATTCACCGATAAGAACTCTACGATCGTACAAGTGACGATTTTCATGCTTTTTCGTCCTGCAATCTCGTTTTTCACTGAAAGCCGGGCATTGGAGGCGGAGTCTGGAGGCGGAGTCACTGGAAAAAGGAGGAACCACTGAACCTATATTGCGCTATAGCGCCCCTCCCTTAGAATTTTTTGCCGCGAAACCGGTACAAGGTTGTTCGTCGCGGACCACTCCAACCTCCTGACACCATATACCTGATCGCAGAACGTGCCTTTAACTAATCATAAGGTTGTTGATGGCGGCTCCACTTGCTTCTTATCAACTCCAGCTCCCTCTCCTGAGCCTGCAGCTTCTGTTTTCCGGTGTCAGGTGTTCCTTTACAGCACAAACCACACAAACCATGACTGAATCTTTCATCATTCAATCACCGCACAACATCTGAATACCGCTGTTGTTCCTATTTCTGAGTGAGTCCTGAGCTTCCAAGTTTCCCCTTCGGCCCTTCTCGCGGTCGAAAACGCTTCACGTTGTGATTTCCACAATGCTGATTGCAACTGGTGTTGGGTACCTGGCAATCGCCTCATGTCCCAGTTGGTTGAACAAAACAAATAATAACTCTTGACAAGGTAAATAATAACTATGGTATTAGTTGCAAAAGTTCCACCGCATCAACATAATGTATGGAGTGTGCATTACTGATGATGCTGCCAATCACACATTTGTCTATGGACAGTAACAACACATATGAACTGATGTCTCAATCCAACAAGTATTCTCTAGGAGTAAAGCACATTCCTTCGTGTAAAAAAATAATAGCAGTACATCTAGTGATGCCTTCTATATGCATTACCAGAGCTACATAAGAATCCAATAAAATGCAGATACATCACAGGTGATTGTTAGCATTTGGTTCAGGAACTACGCACAGTCTTCACACATCTCAAGAATCACATTGTTAATTATGCCAAAGTAATACAGGACCGCAAGAGGACGATTAGTTATATTAGCACAAGTCAATAACCACACGATCTCCCATTCGATTCTCAGAATTTACACTGCGGATTTGATGGACATGTTCACAAGCTCAGAACATGGCCTCATTATCAAGTAAAGGCAAGAACTCCAAAGATTCTCTTCAGGGATGCCATTAAATCCTTTATTGCCTTTAACGGTTGCTATGTTTTCTATGCAGATGGTTGAAAAATTAAGAGCTGTTACAGATACTACAAACCAAGCGATCCAGTACATATATCTAACCGACTATCCATCACGCAATAGTTCTTCTCTTATTGCAAATAATACGTTTAAACAGACTGAAAGAGTCCCACATGGTTTTACTCACCTATCGGCAGATCTTACGCTTTCTATCATGGAGTATGGCTGTGCAAAATACGAAAAGTTTGATAACAGTTCATTCCATATAAATATATGAACGCTTGCGTGCTGCACATAACCAAACTGATAGCAATGTCGACGACTTATTTTTGATGTTAACACCCTTCAATTGAAAAAATCTTATAAGTGAAGGTTTCAACCAGTTATCTAGGCTTAACAATCAAAAACAAGCGGTAAAATTAGTACTCAGTTGTATAATATAATGGAACGGATGATTTGACCTTTGATAGTAAAGAAAGTGAAAGAGTAGGGAAAGGGGAATAAAGGAAATAAAAAGTGATTCGTTTCGCCTCCGACTCAGACGAATCACTGTCTTACGTCAGGCATGTAGGCAATTTCCGCATAGTGACGTATTCCCCTTACTAGCAAGGCTTCGGTTATATGCACAGAACATTACGTTTAGCAAATTCATGTTCGTTCTTTGATATAGTTCGTAAGCAAATTAACGGATATGGTCACCACACTTTTGAATGCTTACGAAGAAAACATTAGTTTTACTAGCATGGTGGAATGTATTTATAGAAAATAAATTTATAGGTTACAAATACTCTATTGCAAATAACTATAAAAAGATAAGTAGACTGGTTAGAAGGTATTCTCATTGGCAGCGGTGTTCAACACCAGCTCTCATTTTATCACTCCGGTGTTTTGTCCTTTTGTGCTTCGTATTAGTGTCACATAGTTAATATTCCCTCAGTTGGTTTGACCTTAAGTACAATTTGATCTTTCTCTTTTTACACGTATTTTCTCGCACACTTCACGTGATGTCTTTCTCCCGTCTTTCTGTCCCTTCCCTCTTAACTAATCTTTCTTGCATTCATTTTGCATGTGCACCTATCTTATAACTACTCTCATTTTATCTTTTTTCTCGACTACTTCCCTGCATAGTCCGTGTCCTCGTTTCGTCGACCCTGCCTTAATGGTGAGTTTGGAGGTCGGCGAGACAATGATGATTCTTCTAAGGTAACAAGGAAAACGGATCATCTGGCTGGGAACATTTCTTTCCCAATATTTTTTTTCTGGTTTTAAATGAGGGCAAATTCGGCCTTCGCACATTAAGGCTAATGGTGTTCTGTAATGAACTGTAGTCGCTCAACGGTCAACGGTTAAGGAGAAAGCGAACACTTCCGATAAATGCCCGCAAGCAATCTCATTGTACGAATTTTTTGAAATTACAAAATATCTCAAATAGTGTCCTACAGCCGCAACATTTCACATAATAGGTCGATGAAGAATCAAGAGCAAAAACACTGACGGAGCTTTCTTACCACAGTATTATAATAGTTACGGATGTGATTCAGACGAATCGAACAACGAAACTATACTTAGGCAACTTTTTATTCTAGATGGGCGACCTTGCGAATTTAAGGTGCAGTTGAATTCACGTACTGTCGTGTACCATGTTGAGAGGAAAGAAGCCGTCTTGTTTAATCAGTATTTCGCAGGTGATGTCTTTGTTTGACCTGCTGCCATATTGATAGCAAGATTCTTCTTGAGTTTGCATTTTAGAAGGATCTCATCTGCTCGTTCGCTGCGTAAACGTTGGAACCGATCGTCTGAAAGGTAATTCGGAGCTGGTTTGTCGCGATGGCGCTTGGTCTCACTCGACACCGTATTGCATTCCACTTGATCCACTCAACAGAAATAGTGAGCATTTTTCAGCCTTGCGACTGTTCACGTAATTCATCCAATCAGCTCTGATAGTAGCTTCAGAGGATTCACCACCAATACTGATCGATGTGCTGAATGGTGCCCACACTTTCTCACCTATCGGTGAGCTCATTGTAGCTCGCAGCGCCACTGTAATATTTTCGTGTTTGTCGCCAAAAAAGACCGCAAAATCTAAATGGGTAGGTTATCATTTACATAATTTTTGGGGACATTGTTTCGGCTGCGCCGAATAGTTTTTCCACTGATAACATCATTCTCGCCATTCGAGGACTCTATTAGTTTTTTTTGGGTTTCGTAACCCTATCACTCTCCTGTACGAAGCACAACCTTTGCGTGTTTGTTCATCGGTTTGCCATTGTATCTGTGAATATCGTGCAAAAGGAGTTTATGTGCGGGGTTGCGGACTGGCGCGCACTCAGGTTGACCCATCCCGCCAATTGATGCCATCCTTAGTATGCAACAATTCGCTGAAGAGTCCTGGCTGCACTGTAATCCTCCGCACGTCCTCTCACTTGCAGGAATAATGAATTTAGGGCTTTCTGTTCGCTGAATGCCTGGGATGTTATAGGGGACATAATAGCAGGACTCGCCAAGCAGACAATCAATTTTAGTTGCAGTACCACCCTGAGATGATGATTCAACTGCGTTAACTTTCCTCCGTCGCCTAGAAACCCAATCAGTAGCTCTACAAGATGTTCACGTCTACGCGTACCAAATGGTGGAAAAGGAGAGTGAGGGATCTGGAGAAAAAAGAAAGAGCTCGGTCGCGGTATGCTTGCTGGAATAAACCAGTAAGATCAGCGTGAGCCGGTTCTTCTGAATGCGCAGCAGAGTTCCTTTTCAGAATCGCTAAGCTTTTTTGTATCTGTAGCTCTGTTCTGATTCCGAGGAGAAGAAGTTTAGTAAACTAGTCATTGTTTTTACTCTCTCAGCTCGACCTGGTTCTAGGGAACTGGCCTTTATGGAAGCTTCGTTGAGTTGACTACTGAACTACACTTGACGTTGTAGCAATCAATCGAGGCAGGTACTGAAGGGATAGAATGATCCCACTTCCAGTTGATTACCAACCGATCAATGTCCCTAGGGCAAAGCACTGAAGACGTGCTCTTCCTCTCTCTCTCCATAACTTTCCTGACACCATTTCGACTGGTTACGGATATCAACTTTATGTTCTTTATGTATAGCGGCTACTGGTGTCACCGTCTCCCTTCCCCTTCTTAATTCTATATTTAGAGAGATCACCGTGCACAGTAATCTTTTTGAGACACATCTAGGCATATTCTGCTATTTCCGGAATTCAACCTGTTGGAGGTTTCGCGAATTCAGGAGTTCTCCTCAACCTACAGAAGCTATCCACAAATATGGACAAGAATCGAGGCTCTGGGTGCAGAGAAGGCAGACGCTAATCAGGTGAGCGTCACACATTGATTTCTTTGTTTCCTTTATTACTCAGTAAACTGTGTGATAATTGAGATGTTACATTAACTAATACACCAACTACAATGCGTAACCTATAAAACAGAGGCGGACGAGCAATGATCTTGTGATCAATTCCCAGGTTGTAAATAGTGTAGAGATAAAAGATTTCGAAGAGCGTTATGAAATCAACATTTTTTTTACTTCTAAGCTCTGCAGACTCCAATGCAATATGTCGAGCATATTCGGGAAAATGGGTTTCCCTTATCATTACCGGGTGTGATAA